TTTCAGTTAACAGCTCGAGAATTACAAGGTATTCAGCGCTTTAATCGGTTTACCATATGTGTTTATCTTCAATCATGGTTTTCATGCAGGCTCACCGCAGATGCACCTGTGAATGATATCTTGTTGATACAGCGTTTATACGAATATGATGATGCTGTTCTTCGATCGACTGGATTGAAAATGATGGTGCGTCACTCGTGGTACTTGAGTCCGGAACTGTCGACGCTTGTGTTATTTTCAACCCTTTTGTCGGACAAAGAAAAAACTGGCCTTGTTCGGACAATGCAATCAGAACGTGGACCGCATCTCATAAAAACACTACCAAAAAGTGTTGTTGATTTGCGTGCTTCTACCACATTTTTTGAAACATCCAACATTGATGCCAGTTTTCTAGATGTTCCTGTTGAAGCATGGTCAGATACACCATCTTTTAAAGTTGCAGCAGATTTTGTAAAGAATCTGGCTTGTATCAATGACTCTGCAGAGCGAGGTGTAGCATTGATACAAAATTTCAATGACAGTATCACCAAGGACGAAGAACAAAAACAATTTTTGCTCCAAGTGGTTGACAAACATCGGAAAAATTTTGCAGAGTGTAATCGTGAACAGCTGGCTAAAATTTAAATTTGAAGAACTTTTTTAAATTTTTGTCTAACCTACAGTACAAAGTACAAGATAAATATTAGGAATGCTTAATTGCATTGCTTATTATTATTTTTCAAGCAGATTGACATTCTTTCAAGAATTAACTTGAAAAAATGAATAAAACTTTGTTTTTCATAATTTTTTACTTAAATTTCAAATTTAAAAATATAAACCATTCAAGATTTATATATTTTGTTTCATTTAATATTATAAACAATACTAAGCATCAATTTGTTACTTAATATATCAGTTTTGCATATAATGCAACATTAACGCTGTATTAGATTTGACCGCGAATGATTTTACACCAAAATCTGGAACTTTAAACCTCTTGGGGGACCTCTAAACATTGTCCAAATGAGCTGAAATTTTGCAGGTTAACTACTGTTACCATACAGACATATTCTGTGGGGTGAGACATCAACATTTCAAAACTTCATTTTTTTGGGACGCCCTAGTGTAGAGTGTAGTGTAAGAGTCGATTATGATTCAGTCTCAGTGCTAATTTAATAATTACTTGGTAGGCGTATGCAGACTATTGAACTGTCTGCTAAAATGCAGGGCTGGCAATGTCTTCTGCGGTATATAGGCATATATTATATATGTAGATACTTTGGTAATCTACCACTTGAGCGTCGGCCAATGAAAAATCCAGCTGTTCCGGTTGGAAGGGCTATTTAAACAACTATTCTTATATTATTTTTAATGACATTGGTTGTGCGTATTCATTCCCATAATAATAGACAATTTTTTTTAAAATAGAAAAACTATAACAATTTTTTTGAAATAGAAGATAATGTGTGAAAATGGAATTATGCATAGTTCTCCCCCAAGTTGACAATAAAGTTTTAAAAAATATCATTTCCACGAAAACGGTTGTGGTACATGAATCCATCTAAATATGAAGAGGAAAGATCACCGCGCTTCTTGTGGCACACTGTCTTTTCAGTTTATTCTTTCTGAGCATTCACGTTTTCCACATTCTGTGTGTGCACATCAGCGTCATCTGGATCAAACAAAAAAATTGTTGTCTCTTTTTCTTCCTGGCATATCGGTAGCTTGGCAGTAATAAGTATTTAAATGTATTAGTATTGTGCTATATAACTTATAACTTAATAGCCTCTATACTGAAGCAAAAATATTAACAGACTCCAAATGTAAGAATAGTTGTTTATATAGCCCTTCCAACCGGAAAAACTGGATTTTTTCTTGGCCGACGCTCAAGTGGTAGATTACCGATACTTTAACTCACTTTAGTGAAAAAATTAAAAATAATTTTTTTGATATTACATTGAAAGTGTGGGGAGGGTCTACTTCTGTTAAAATGTTCAGTGAAATAGCGGGTTAAAAACGGGGACGCCTGCCACTTTTTTATCGAATGTCAGGAATGTATCCATAAATCGATCCATATGCCTAACCTGAACCCTAAACCTAACCTAAACCCAATTCACTGCAACTATTATAAAGACACAAAAGACGCCGTGGCAGCCGTCCTCGGTTTTAGCCAAATAGCGAAATGGCAGAAACGAATAGCATAGGATATGTGTTGTCTGTGTGTCTTTTTTTTTTTTTTTTTTTTTTTTTTTTTTGTGTTTCGGAAGGGGTTTTTTTTTTAAAAATTTTTTTTTTTTTTTTTTTTTTTTTTTTTTTTTTTTTTTTTTTTTTTTTTTTTGGTGCATCGGCAAGGAGTTTCTTTTTAAAAATTTCTTTTTAA